GTCCCCATTCCTCCTCCTCCTCCACCACCACCAGTTAACCCCTCAGACACCTCCACCACCGAACAGTCTGAGCCTGTTCCCGGCTCCTCGTCTTCTCTGATCTCTACACAATCTTCACCCTTCCCCACATCGTCCCCATCTCCTTTCCCACMTCCATCTTCCCCTCGACCTTCCCGAAACCGCAAACCCAACTCTAAATATTTTAATCCTGCCTTTGTGAACACAACTACAATTCATCCCATTTCAGTTGCCTTAGAACCCACTACTCCCACTCAAGCCTCTAAAGATCCTTTATGGCGTCAAGCAATGGAAGACGAATACAATGCCTTGATCCACAACGCCACTTGGGAACTTGTTCCACCTGCTTCCCGTAAACCGATCTGTTGTAAGTGGGTTTTCCGAATCAAGCGTAATCCGGATGGTACTATCACCAAATACAAGGCTCGTCTTGTAGCTAAGGGGTTTCTACAACAATATGGGAAGGATTATTTCGACACTTTTAGCCCCGTAACCAARYCGGTTACGATACGAACCGTTCTCTCCATTGCTTTATCGAATAACTGGGCACTGAGGCAATTGGACGTTAACAATGCGTTTCTTCATGGAACCTTACAAGAGGAGGTGTACATGGTTCAACCACCAGGTTTTGTTCACCCGCAACATCCAAACCACATATGCAGGCTACGAAAATCTTGATATTGTCTCAAACAGGCACCACGTGCATGATACATGGCACTCACCTCATTTTTACTAGAAATTGGATTTCGAAAGTCCCAAGTCGATGCATCGTTATTCATTTATAATTGTGCTGCCATCACTTGTTACTTCCTGGTTTATGTTGATGATATTGTCCTCACGGGAAATAACTCTCCTTTTATTGCCAAGTTTGTAGAAATGCTTGCTAACAGGTTCTCCATCAAAGATCTTGGTCAACTCAGTCACTTCTTGGGTGTTGAAATCATCCCAACCAACGCTGGCCTCTTCTTATCGCAACACAGTCACATCCGAGATGTCTTGACTAAGTTCAAGATGGATGGTGCCAAGGAGGTCACAACTCCTTTAAGCACCTCCGTCACTTTTACAAAAGAAGATGGCGCTCCTAAAGCTGACCCGACACAGTATCGCAAGTTAGTTGGCACCCTCCAGTACCTTGCTTTTACTCGCCCGGACATCTCCTTTGTTGTCAACAAGCTATCTCGGTTTATGCACTCCCCATCTGACACTCATTGGCAAGCACTTAAACGCTTGCTTCGTTATATGAAAGGTACCATCTACCATGGTCTCTTCCTCAATCGCAACTCCACCACAACGCTCAATTCCCATATGAAACACGTCGCCTTGGATTACCATTTTGTCCGGGAGCAAGTCTCTGCCGGCACATTGAAGGTTCACCATATCCACATACTCGACCAACCTGCCGACGTTCTTACCAAGTCGTTGGGTCGGGCTCCTTTTTTAAAATTCCGGTCCAAGATTGGAGTTACTGACGGATCTTCCATCTTGCGGGGGCGTATTAAGGATATCCGATAATCATGCACATTTATAGGAGTATATATCATTTATTTTAGTCTCARTCCATTCCTTGTATAGCTCCCTGATTTATGCTTCCTCTGTTTGTAACCTCCTATATATGTACCTTTAATTGTGAATGAAAATACCACTGAAATTCAATATTCATACAGACGACATCGAGAGAGAGAAAGAGAGAGAGACCGCTCTCTATATTGAAATACCTACCCTCAACATAAACTTTATTTTTGTGAAAATCATGTCGTGGTTGTAGAGGGAATCATTTTCTTTTGAAAAGAGAAAAAAAAAATTCAATTTCGATAAAAAGTTATTTCAACGGTATGGCGATGACACGTCGTTGTTGAAGGATAAAACATATTTCTCCCCTCCTACTTTTTAAAAGTGAGAAACTTTTTATTTTCTAAAAAAATTTCAACCCTATTACGATGACATGTCGTCGTTGTAGTTAAAATATTATTTTCAACCAGTTTTCCATATAAAAAAGATAAGCGTTTCAATATCTAAATATGATTTTAACCCTATTGCGACGACTTTCAGACTTTTAGTTGTCGTTGTAGGTCCCATCGCTATCGATGTAGTTTCTTGTCGTTGTAGGTCTCATCGCTATCACTGCATATAAGACAAATGATTATTGGTTTTATAAACTTAAAGCCTCATTAAGTACTCAATTAGAACACGCAAGGGCCACGGCGTATCCTAAAAATGTCATTATATTGTTGTAGTCAATTTTTGTGTTATGGACACCGCAATGAAACGTTGATGGTTCGGTTGTTTTGGTGTAACGGTTTGAGCATCAATATTAGCGTATAATACTATTGCATTCTTCTTGTTCAAAAGTAAAAAAATACTATGCATCCTTTCATACTTTTGTAACGTTATTCAATCAATAAGTAATAAACTTTAAGCATCGATCAATATATTAGAATTGAAGGATTTTATTGTATTATTACACTATTTCAATACTAGTTCTATTGTACTTTTGGAGTGGTTTTCATTTGATCGCTCCTCTATATATATATCTGTGTGTGAATAGTACGAAACTTGATGTCGTTATATGACGATAGATATAAATACATATATAAGGCTACCGACAACAATGGTAATGGTATATACGATATTAATCTTATACCCGTCTGTAAAATAATTTATGCTTCTTGAAATTGTTAAAAATTGATACAGATTAATAAAATCATATAAAATAAAAGGTTACTGATCCCTGATTGAAGAATCTTTTGGATATGAAGTGTACAAATTAAAATGAAAAATAAATGATTTAAAGTGGTTTTTCGAAATCTTTTCACTCTCAAGACAAAGCGCTCTCTCTTTTATAAAGCGAAGCAAAGCGCCTTAAAAGCTACGACATCATACGGATCCTCGGCTCTGTTAATTAGTTGGCGTTGCTAATCGTAGCAAACTTTCACATCATTGGCTTCTTGGCGCCTTTGATTAAAGAATGTTCTCCCTTTAGCAACTCAGATATTTCAGTTCGCTAAATTTGAAAAGACCCCATTTTCTTGTAGCTTTCGTACTTCGTCGATCATGAATAAGATCATCCTTGTGTGGTCAAAGTTGGTTTCTAATTTACTAAACGATGTTTTTTCATTGAAGACCTTTCGGGGACTTTTACTAAATGTTTGTCCGGCAAGTGCCTACCGGATCACTTTACCTTACTGGATGAACATGCATGACATTGACCGAGAATCCTATCCGTAGGAGCGATCACACGACTCACAAGGGCTGAAAGTCTTACCTGGTAAGTGATGAGGGTGACGACTTACCTGGTTAGCGCTTATCGGATAAATTGTTGTACACGATATTGTTTTAATGTATTAGAATCTTACCCCGTAAGATAAATGGGAGGGTTGACTTTCACCAATGAACACATGACCCCATACTTCTTTTGATAAAAAGAGATGGAATGACTTTGCTCAATCATAATCATGTATGAGTTGATTTTCTATTTCAAACAAATATATATATATATATATATATATATATATATATATATATATATATATATATATATTGTTTGTTTCAAATGCAACCCATCATATTTGTACAACCAATGCAACCCAATAAATTGAGATATTTATAGAAATGATGAGAGTTCATTTATTATGATTCAAATATTTATGGAAGATGAATAAGGTTCATTAATTATGATCAGTACTTTATATTATGAAACAATCAAAACTTCTATGAAATTACATATTTATCAAATTAAATGGACAGTTGAGATTGAGTTGTATTGGTTGTACAAATGTAAGAGCTTGTATAATAACCCACCCCTCTCTCTCTCTCTATATATATATATATATAGGGGCCTAATCAAATGAGAACTGATTAGTTTGTGGTAACTGTGAGGTCCAATGTAAGCCAACCATTTAAATAATTAATGTTATATCCTAAAATAACATAAAGGGTAAATTGGTAATGTTATAATCATAAAACCCTAACCTTATTTTTCTTCCTTCCTTCATCGACTAACCCTGTTTTTCTACTACCATCACGCTTGCCATTGATGCTTCTTCTTCTTCATCAAGTCGGCCGACGAGCTCAAGTCCGACACCATTCTTCGTCGTCGTCGGCGCTAATTGAGCATACCTGACTGAACTTAAGAGCGTGTTGTTCCCGGCTAGTTGGAGATTGCCGCTGACAAAAACGAGCATACTGCCGGCAGGTCCGGAAGGCTGGCAATCGATGGTGGTGATGCTATGTTTGCACTGTTGAAAAGGGAAAGATGTGAGATTGTTGACGATATTCTGAGAGCCTTGGATCTTCTGACCTTCAAAAGTCAACATGGAAGTCTCTTGGTAGAGATTAGCTAAGGCAGCCCGATTGGTATCGAAGGTGGTATAACAATGCTCTACGAATGCTTTTGACAAAGCGTCTGGATCTATTGATCACTTTCTAAGACTTAGATCCTCCTTCCCAGTCTCACTCACTGTTGCTCTTCTTCAATCTCTCTCTATCCCTATTCCCTAGTTGGCTGAAATAATAAGCTATCACAGTGTATCACAATATGCAATTTCATTATTTTCCTTGTTTTATCAAGGTGTATCATAATGGATTTGATTTTGTTTTTATGGTTTGAGTTGGTATCACAATGGTATTACAGTATATCACAATGGGTATCACATTGTGTATCTTTGTGATTACTAGGTACCTGCCGGAATAATGTTGGCCGGAGGCCGGAGATTAGAGGTCAGAGAGAGRAGAGATGAGTTTTTTAAAAAWACCTAAAATGCCCTCTAATTATAATTTTAACTTAAACTACCATAATTACTAATTTCCTTATTTATCCGTTGATTTGTGGTTAAGATTGGACCTCACAGTTACCACAAACTAATCAGTTCTTCCTTGAATGGACCCCTATATATATATATCAAGAAACCAAACATCAATGAATGACCCCCATTAATTGAGGGCCTATATATTGAATTGAAGCCTTGGTCATTTTGGTCATAAATACAAGAAAATATGGGCAGTGCTTTGTATATGCTGACAATGAGGTCAACCATGGTGGTGCTGCTGCTGATCTTTCTTGCTGTAACCGAGTTCCGGCCAGCCATTGCCATCGCAATCGTGCAAATACGACAGATCGCAGCTAAGAATAACGTTAGTGGCGTGTTTGTGTTTGGCGATTCGAGTGTCGATCCAGGGAACAACAACCATCTCGCTACAACCGATAAGAGTAATTTCCCACCTTACGGAATGGACTTCTTCGACGGTCAACCCACCGGCAGGTTTAGTAATGGAAGACTTGCCACTGATTTCATAGGTAACTCAAGTTGTATCCATACCGCAAACATGCATTTAAAACCAAATTACCATTTTAACTTTAGACTTTTACCATTAAGGAGCCGTTTACTAAACGCTTACCCGGTAAGTACTTACCGGATAATTTTTCTCACCGGATGAACATGGCAAGTGCCAAGAATCTTACCGGTAAGAACGATGATAAAGATGGAGAGTCTTACCCGGTAAGTGAGGGTGACAACTCTTACCCGAGTAAGCGCTTACCAGACAAATTGTTGCATGAAATACGTTGTAATGTACTACAATCTTACCCAGTAAAATAAATTAGAGTGTTGACTCCTAACGACAAACACTTATCGGGTAAGCATTTAGGTAAACAGCCCCTAAGTGAATTGTTATGTTGTGTTTCGCAACAACAGTTGGTATTTTTTGAGTTTAATCGCTTGGTAATTCATGAGTTAGATTTTTGAAAAAACTGGAAGTCGCTGTGTTCAAGGTCTGACCATCCAAATTACATGAGAAACATATGAATAAGAGTCCTGAACTCTATCGGTCCTGATGAGACCATGTGCCAAATATGAAAATCCAAATGAAAAACGTAAAAAAAATAGCAAAAAACACAAAAGTATCCAGAAACATGATAACCCATGGCCTGCTCCTCGTTTCAACCTTCAAACCGACGTATTATGGACATGAAATGGGGTCTCATAGCGAAAAGGTATATGGGTTTAAGCATGACAACCTTCGTTAGCCCGGTCATGGGCCTCCATGATCAATAGTTCACGTCAAGGCCCGCATCAATTTCTATTATATTTTTCTTTTATATCATTTATGTTATAATCTAATTTATGTTATATTTTGTTTTGAAGAGGGAGTATGATTTATGGCCTATGCCTACTTGGTGTATTATAATGTAATTACTGATCTCGTATTTTGAATAGCTGAGGCACTGGGCTATATGAAAGCAATTCAACCATATCTCGAATCAGGAATGCCAAGGGCCATCAATCTTTCTCATGGAGTTAGTTTTGCTTCTGCTGGTTCTGGCTACGATAATTTCACTGCTCAAGTTTCGGTATGGTTTTTAATTCTATCAGTTATAATATTAAGTAAAACAGACCAGACTGGCATATAATTATACGAATTTCTAGTGGACGCTTGTTTTGAAAAGGAAGGAGTAATGATCGATAACTACAATCTACAAGATACTGATTAGAATTTTCTTTTATTGATGTGAAGAATGTGTTGTCGTTGTCACACCAACTGAAGTATTTTGCGCATTACAAGCTGCACCTTGGCCAAAAGATAGGAGTAAAAGAGGCTGATGAATCCATCCGCAATGCAGTGTTTGTATTGAGCATGGGAACCAACGATTTTCTACAGAACTACTACGTTGAGCCCACTCGAAGTGCCCAATACACCGTGGAACAATACGGAGATTATTTGATCTCTCTCCTTTTTGGTTACGTCAAGGTTCCCTCTCTTTAATTAATTTCCATTGGTGAAAGCCATTGCATATTACTACGATAAAATGGGTCTTCTAAGACATACATGTGTCCTAATGAAGTACTTAAACCGGCGTCTTAGCTAAAGACTTCACTGTAAGTTGTTAGGATGAAATTGGACAACCTAACAAGTTCTAAATACGATTTCTATTCATATACTTCTTGTTAGGTTGGCCAACTTCATCCATAAAATATGTTAGGTCCCTTAACATTGCTGTAACGACTTATTGTAACACCTTTAGATAGACACACAATTCTTATTTCAATTGGGTGTTCTAAAAGACCAGTTTTGTTCAACTATGATATTTTCGATTTCGCTGAATTTACAACCGAATTTCTTACATATGGATTATGCGTAGAAAATGCATTCCCTAGGAGCAAGAAGATTGGTGGTTGTTGGGGTTGTGCCTTTCGGATGCATGCCTTTGGTCAAAACATTGAAGGATACAACCAAATGCGACGACGATTACAACAACGTGGCTCTTTCATTCAATCGAAAGATCAAAAAGGCATTGGTTACAATGAGAATATCATTGAGGATGAAAACCGTGTATGCTGATGCTTATAGTGTCATCCAAAGGGCAATCCAGAACCCTAAAAGATACGGTTAGTTTTAATCATCAATATATTTCAATAACTCTGCAATCTAAAAACCTATATACGTCGTGAATGAAATATCGTCATATACAGGGTTTGTTGAGACTTCAAAGGGGTGCTGCGGAACAGGAACATATGAATATGGTATTACTTGTAAAGGGTTGGATACATGTGTCGATCGAGAGAAATATTTATTCTGGGATGCAGTTCATCCAACGAATAGAATGTATAAGATCATTGCAGATGAGGCTTTAAGTTCAATTATGACTGATCTATTTTAATGATTCTACAGATATATTATAAGTTATATGAGTATGGAACTTTGTTACTATTCTTTTATGTTAGTGTGCAAATATTAACGTACCATGTTCGAATGATCTAATTAATTATAAGTATTCTTTTTTCTATTATAACCAATCAGATTGCGTGCATTTCGTCTAATAACGTGTGGGTCTTAAAGTTATAAATAAGCAGACCCAGTTGAACCAACGAGTCTTGAGAAAAAAACTTTATCGATTAAGCTTCTCCCGAGACTTAATTTTAGTTGTATTATGTACATGTTACTGGGATTAATGCTTTCTATAACGGATGTTCTCCATCTTTGGAATTGAAACGCATTTTATATAAATTTCTTGATTGTTGAAATAAAATTTTGAGAACTGATTGAAATTGTATTACACAACCAAGTACGAAAGTGGGAGACTAATTGCAGTCCTATAAATACTCCTACCTAGAACTTTTTTCCTCGTACACATCAACGTCAAAACTTATTTTTTACATTCTCAATGCATGAATTAACTTGATTTTGACATTAAAAAGGGTGCAGATAGCAATCTAATGATGAAAAGGGTAATGCTATTTGCACCCTATTTAATGCTAGAATCAGGTCAAGTCATGTATTAAAAATGTTAAAAGTGAATTTTCTTGATGATACGTATGAATAAGAAAATACAAGGTAGGGATACATTTAGCAACCTATAAAATTGCAAATAGCAATAAAATACTACAACAAAATCGGGTTTATAGGACGCCCAAAAGTGTCATATAAACCTATTACAACGCCTTTAGATAAGACATTTTATATTTTGATCCTATAAATTAAGTCTTATAAAACGATATATTGAGACATTTAGAGATTAAGAGTGTCATGTAAACCTAATTTTATTGTTGAAAGTAGAAAAATATAAAATATAAAGCAAAGTACAATAAAGGCGTGGAAGTGGGCCCAGATCTTAATGAAGAGGAGAGAGCAATAGAGCAAATCCACCCTCACCCAAATCCAGCCAATCCCATTACACCTTTTCTATTTCCCTTACACTCATTTCTTATCTCCATTATCTCACCCCCATCCCATCAATTTACACTTTCACCCCCTAACTTTCTCTTTTTACTGATTTTTCCTAATAATCTAAACTTTTTTATTTCATATTAAAGTTCAATTATTTCAAAATGTAACCTATTAAATTGTAATTTTACATTTAGGGCAAACTATTTAAAAACAACAAGAGTTGTAAAAATTATAGTATGATGTAACTTATCATATTGTTAGCATAAGATCATTTGTTAGAAGGACTTAATGGTATTTACTTTAAAGTTTAAGGGTGTATTTTGAATATTATTTTCGTTCTTTCTATTCTACTTGTACTTGGTCCTCCTTCCCTTTCGTATCATAACCCCCTTCTTCTTTGTCTCTCCTGTTTGTATCCATGGCCACCAATTCTCTCCAATCACTAAACTATCGCCACCACAATCCGCCACCGCCGCCACCTGGCCGGCGGCAGTCTTTCGACTGTACGCCGCCAGTATCGTTTAGCGTTAAATTAAACAATAATAATAATCCGACCCTCTCCATTTCCTCCGCGGTAAAAACCTTCTCTCTCCCTTCCACAACCTCCTCCTCCGCTACTTCCTCCACCTCCGACCAATCAACCACCGTCGACCAACTTCAGCGCCTCCTCTCCGCCAAAGACTTCCGAGAAGCCGACAATGAGACCCGCCGTCTCCTTATAGCCCTCGCGGGCGAAGCCGCGCAGAAACGCGGCTACGTGTTCTTCTCGGAAGTCCAATTCATACCCGAGTCGGACCTCCAAACGATAGACGAACTGTGGAGGAATCACAGCAACAACAAATTCGGGTACAGCGTCCAGAAACGATTGTGGGAGAAATCAAACAGAGATTTCACAACTTTCTTCATAAAAGTTGGATGGATGAAGAAGCTTGACACAGAAGTATTACAGTACAACTACAGAGCTTTCCCAGATGAATTCGTGTGGGAGCTGACAGACGAAACGCCAGAAGGTCATCTGCCATTGACGAATGCACTGAGAGGTACCCAGTTGCTGAAAAGCGTTCTAAGCCACCCTGCATTTGCAGACAAAGAAGACGCCATTGAAGAAGAAGAAGAAAAACAAGAAGAGTCACAGCAGCAACCACTTGGCAAAGGAATGTTTAAACCTGATTACAGTTTTTAAGTGAAACAATTCAAGATGGTTTATGATATGCATTACATGTTTGTACCGTACAAGTATTACAAGAGTCATTGTTTGTCCAATTGAAGTAGGGTTTGCTTATGGTTATGGACATTGACATACATTTATATATCAAAACCTCTACATTTGTGTTTCTCTCTCCTCCCTTGGTTCATGTTTTCGATGAGAGAGAAAAGAATGGAAAAATGTCATTTTTACTAATATACCCTTTTTAGAAATGTATCATTTAATACGAAAGATTGGCTAATTTTGTCATTTTAATAAAATTTTAAAGAGATTTTTTAATTTCTTTCCTTTGCTTTCTCCTGTATCTCTATATCTGTATCTGTATCTATATCTGTATCTGTATCTGTATCTCTATTTGTATCTGTATATGTATATGTATCTGTATCTGGGAGGAAAAGTTTGGATATCCAAGAACAAAATGCTACTATTCCTATACGTTTAAATCAAGTTAACGATCACAATAGATACGATGCAATAACACAAGTCATTCAAACCCGTTGTTGCCTTACTTGCTCCCTTTCATTGCCCTATCACTGTTGTTGGTTCCTGCCATTGATCTCACTCTTTCTGATTGTTTTTTTCATTCTCCATCTTTTTGATATGTCTATATGTGCTCCATTAAGCTGTTTTAAAAGAGGGGGGATTGAAAGAAAAAAAAAAACAAATCAAAAAGATGGAGATCAATGATAAAGGCCAATAATGGCAATGGACGGTAGAGAGAATAGAAATGATAGGGCGAAAAGGAGTGGCGAGTGGAAGTGATGTCTTTGTATACGCATGGTTTGAATGACGTAGGGTCTCGAACAGGGAAAATTGATTTATGTATTTTTACCGTAAAAACATGGTAGTCGGTTAGATGTAACTTTTTTGGGTTGAAAAGATGTAAGTGTCCAATTTGTAAAAGTTCGATGGTTTATTTATTAAAAAACGTTCAGAGACTTAATCATTCAAAATGTAAACGAACACAAACAGAGACTTGTTCATGTTACATGGTTAGATGTAACTTTTTTAGATTTTTAATTTATTTTATTTCCTTTCCTCCTACATATAGGGTTCTAAATGAACCGAACGAACACAAACAGATGCTTGTTTATGTTCGTTCGTTTAACTTAACCGAACAAATGAACAAACACGAATTGTAAACGAACGAAAACCTTTATGTTCGTGTTTGTTCGTTTAGAAATCAGGTGTGTTCATGTTCGTTCGTTAACATGCTAAACGAACATACACGAACGGGTTAAACGAATATAAAAGATGAAAAAGTAAAATTTTCAAATAAGACAAAATAATGATAAAATTTTAATCTAAATAAATTCTAAAAAGGTTAAAATTTAAATAAATATTATTTGAATTCAAACTAAATAAATATAAGATGTATATTAAATTTAATATATAAATGAAAATAAACGAACGAAAGTTTACGAACATAAATGAACGAACGAAATTTTGTTCATGTTCGTTCGTTTAACTAAACGAACAAAAAAAAAGTTCATGTTCATTCGTTTATTAAATAAACGAACTTCCCGCCAAACGGTTCACTGAACGTTCGGTTCATTTACAGCCCTACCTACATTTGGGAGGAAAGTTTTGAATGACTTGTCATTATTTTATCTCCATTTCCTTTCCTTTCTCTTCTAAAAAAGTTTCAAAAACACGAGTTTTTTTACTTTCTTCCCCTTTCCTTCGATTCCCTTTTCTTTCCTTCGTAAAAAAAGGTTTCAGAGAGTAAATATATTTTACTCAATTTAAAATAAAATAAAGAAATCGTTCGATATTTTAGGGTGGTTTGTTTACCTCTTAATAGTTTCATTAAGAGGCAACATTTGAATCGTTATGAGGTAAATCTTGTTTGGCAAAAACAAAAGTATGTCTTTTAATGGTTCTAAAACCCTCTGAATGACTTTGTATCCTGGATCCCCCTTAACCATTAAGAACCCTAATTTCATTGTACATAGTTACCAAACAATTATATTTCATTTTGCACTATATCATGAGAGTCTCCTAATCATGCTGACCAATTAATTATTTTGCACCAAATCATTCAACAATTGTTAAACAGCCCCTTAATGATGATGAATATAAATAAGTATTTGAATTGATGCTACCATTCCTATTCCTATACGTTTAAATCATGTTAACGGTGACAATGGATATGCAATAACACAAGTTCACTATATATATAGTAGAACCTTTTTCTGAATCAAAAAAGTAAACCTTCGAACCCCTTGGCTAAGGAAGGTTTTACGGTTCTCAATCCTACATCAAATCAAACCCGTCGTTGTCGTATCGTCCTCCATCTTTTTGATACCGACCTCACTATTTCTGATTGTTTTTTCATCCTTCGTTTTTTTGATATGTCTATATGCGGTCTATTAAACCGTTTTAAAAGAGGGAGAATCGAAAGAAAAAGATAGAGATCAATGATAAAGGTGACCAACTGCAATGGACCGTAAAGAGAATAGAAACGATGGGGTGACAAGGAGTGGCGAGTGGAAATGAACGGCATACGGTTTCGGACCAGGAAAATTGATTTTTGTATTTTTACCATAAAAACAGGGTAGTTGGTTACATGTAAATTTTTTGGGTTGAAAAAATGTAAGTGGCCAAATTTTTAAAAGTTGATGGTTTAATTTTTTTTAAAAACGTTCAAAGACTTAATCATTCAAAATGATAAAGTTTAACGATTTTTTTCATTCAGAAAAATAGTTCAGAACCTTAATTATTAAAAATGAGAAAGTCTAATGGTTTTTTATTAAAAAAATCTAGAGATCAAAAACCATTCAAAATGAAAAAGTTGGTAGGATCTCAAAGTTATATGGTAAACATAGTTTTATTGCAATATATTAGTTATAAAAAATAAAGTGAAATATGGATTTGTTCCTTATGTTTTGATATTTTTTTGGACCAGGGTCCCCATGGTATGTTCAGACCAAATTTGGTCTATGTGGTTTAGTAGTTATAATATTTTCGAGCCCTACAGTTTTGAAATTACAAGATGATCATCGTGGTATGCGAAAACTTTTGTATTTGGTCTCTTACTTTAACGTCCGTTAAGAAAACCCGTTAAATTAGGGGTATTTTAGTCTTTTTTACTACAAGAAAAGTGATTTTATGCAACGCATCTTTAATGATGAAAAAGTTTCATCGACAATGACGACATATCGTCCATGTTCATTGTGGTGTTTATTTCTATCTCATTTTTTCTTCTCATAACTAAATAAATATGTAAATCACAAGGACCGAAAATGTAACTTACCCTAATATATATAATTATATATAGGGAAAATCACCAAAATGACCAAAATATACCTGAGATATTAACGAAATAATCAAATTTTACCAAAATCACAAAAATTCCCACACGGATCGTCCCCGGTGGGCTAGGGTTGACCACGGGGGGCAATCCCCCCTTCTTTGACCGAAAAAATACATAAAAATATTAAAAAAAAATCAATTTGGTGGGTTCCACATGCATCCCTTTTAGGAAACAAAATACTATTCGCCTTGATTTTCATGGATCTACCCCATGGGCGATCCACGCCACCCAATCTATTTTTTTATTTTTTTAATATCGATTAAGTGGTGTTTTTAATAAATATGTTACGATATTTAAACTTTTTTTTACCCTTTTAGAATCAAATATCATGCTTTTAGTCTATAAAATAAAACATTTCTACTCTCACAACTCGTAAACACAATCTAACGTGACAAACCTTATAAAAATATGATTGTACGTGAATATTTCTAATTTTTACCAATTTTTTAAACGCATAAACTAAACAATAAATGTTGTTATATTTTTTCTTTTAAGAAATGTTGATATTCTATAATAATTGTGGAGACGAAAAAAATTACTTGTATCTGATTTGGTGGACAAAAATCAGATATTTTATGTTGAATCTTATTTCGTCTTTTAGTGCTACACCTCCTCTTTCATTTTTATTCTCATATATTCTACTTTCACAACCCTTAACCCTTCAACATAATAAATCATCACAATCTTTAACCCTTAACCCATTAAACACAATCTACCATCACAACCCATCACCCTTAAACACAAATATGAAATCACGTCAAAGTGATGATGTTTTGGTGTATCTTCGAAGTGGCGGTTCATTCCAAGAGTTATTTGATATTAAATAGTTAATTTGATATTAATATCCATACATTATACTTGGTGCCTTCAAACTGCTTTCTTTCCAAAAGTTACAAAAGAACACCCGTATGGAAACATAACATATCAAAAGATGCATCAGTTCATACATTTACACTATGTATCTACAAGTTCCAACAAAGAACAGAACCCACAAGCAGAAAGAATACAAGCAACAATACATACATTATCAAAAACTCAAGCTAACAAAAGTATAGGCCACCATTATCAGAAAGAAAGGGACAATTGGTTAGTTGAGAACATATTCCAGAACATGTACTATAACTTAGAGGAAAGAAGTTCATTGCTTTAAAAAACACCCCCTCTAAAAATATACCAAAAACATCATGAAAATTATAAATGAAAACCATTGGGGACAACTGTCACGATAAAAATAAATAATAGCCATTTTTGAAGGAATTTCAAAATTTTATGAAGAAGCATAAAAATTCCTTCTGGCAATGGCTTCTCCAGGTGCATCAAGTATAATGTATGGACATCTACACCTAATGGAAACCAGAAGCGCAATAGTGCCACTGAAGAGACTTCAAAGGTTTTCCTATCTTCCCCTTTCTCTTTGCAAGTTATAGTATTAGATTTCTATTTTTTTGACAAGTTGTTGATGAAATTATATTTCTTTTTGTTTGACAAGTTATTGATGAAATTAGATTTCTTTTTATTTGACAAATTATTGATGAAATTACATTTCTTTTTATATATTACTCTTTTAGATGGTACATAATTCACTGCAAAATTCAATTTCAAATTCATGTTTATATATTTATGTATAATGTATATATGTACGTATGTATACCTTCATTCATCCTTTTTAGGGGCCGTTTACCAAATTACCTGGGTAAGTGCTTACCAAGTAACATTATCTCACCGCATGAATATGGTAAAAACCAAGAATCTTATCCGGTAAGAGCGAGACAAGGACCAATAGTCTTATCCGAAAATTGAGGGCGACGACTCTT